TTTGATTAAAAGCTCGTTAATCATTTTCGTGCAAAAATAATGTCCAGAACAAAAAAACCATTTTGAGATTAGTAAAAAATTACCTATTTATCTTGTTACTACGGAAATATAGAACATGTTGCTATCAATAAATGATGTAAGGAGAAATAATTAGGTTCATGGTTCATTTGTATTACAATATTATTAATTACTAAGAAATATTTCCAAACACAGGTATATTGCTTTTCATGCAGGATAACATAATCTCTAATAAGCCCTCAAACCAATTTTCCAATAGCAAAACACCTGAAAATTGCAATATTTCTATGGATTAAGATATCTATTTGTGCATGTAGGGGGCAAATACCGAAGTGCTTTAAAACTTAAATTATCTTTTGTAATAATCAATTGATTTGCCTTTGTTAAGTGCTAACTGGTGTATTAATATCATGGAATTTTGAATGATTGGTCGATTAAATTTTCAATTATACAACTGTTTAAAATATTGAAGCAAATCATCGTTGATTAATCCAGTGGTAGAGTCCAACCAATTTAAATATTCCAGTTTATTCATTGTATTCGTAATTATATATAGCCAGGCCAATAACACCTATATCATAAATTTCCTTCGAAGTAGTAGAAAACTTCTTGACGTGGTGGAGTAGAATAGGGTTCAGCCCTAAAGGCACTGCAAAAAGTTTGAGGTCTCTATTCAGATTGTTAAAAATAATAACTTGTTATTTGGCGGAAGACTTCGCTAAAGAGAAAGAGGATGCCCTCGTTAGAGTTACAGATCTCCAAAAGTGGACTTGATAATGATACTGGTACAACTTTCTATATTCATTTCTTTTTAAGATCAACTGATTTTTCCTAATCAACGTCAATTTCTATCATAAATACAATAAAGACGACGAGTTTAATTTTTCTAAATTTTTCCACTGTTTACAGATTTGTAATATTTATGGAATTTAGATATAGATTAAAAAGAAATTTTTTCAACCTTCCCTCACGAGCAAATGGAATATCAAATTGAAATCACTCCTTTGAAGAGGTCAGTTATGCATGTAAATACATATTACATTTAACTTAAGGCAAAATAGAATTTTTATCCAAATAAACTGGCTTTATTTAATATATTATTTGACGCAATTTAGTTGAAGCCTGGAATTTGAAATGAAAAAGCGCTTTACACCAGCAGCTCGTGACAATAGTGAGCAGATAAATAAAAGTTGTGCAAAACAGCATTGTTAATTTATTAAAATTGCAGTAGTTGTTTAATTTAGTTGAACAATTCAGTTCCAGAACCAATTTTCGTGTAAATTAATTTGGAAACGTGTACCTACTAACATTGTATTTGTAATTGAAAAACTAGGCTCATAACAAGAAGGGATATTAAACTTATGAAAAAAAAAAGTTATTAGATAAGTATGTATAGGTACCTACTTTTTATACAAATTCAAGATATTTTTTTTTGAAAGGAAGCAAATTATCCTTCAAGAATATTAAGAATATCAGAAAAAATTAAGTCTTCTGCGAGGACTAGAAATACCTACTTCCTGAATAGTATTTTCCGGGAGGAAATCCATAAACAAATTAATTGTCTCCTTAGGCGAATATGTTTCGCCATCTATGTTCCGAAGTTAAAACTATCGTAACAAAAATCAATAGCCAATAATTATCTATTTTAGCCTCAATTTATAAGTTCCATGAAGACTTGTGCTTGCAAAGAAGATAATAATTGTGATAAATGTAGCCCTTTTATGGGAAAACTCCTCAGGGTGCTCTAAAGACTTGTTTGTCCATCATCAAACCAATCATCTGCTCTATACTATGATTGGTTCACACATCAGTCAGAGGAGAAAAATCTTCCTGATTTGCGAAAAAGAAGATACATATTCAAACGTAGAATATTACAGGTCCATAGCAGCCAACTCTATGGATTCTTTAGGAACTGCTCCGTCTTCCACTATTTCTCAAATCTCATAGATTGCTACTTTGGAGTATTGTGACCCTCTTTTCAAACAAGCGAAAACAAGAAAATCGGCCAACAAAAAAATAGGTTACAGGTCAAACACAAAGATCCGGCATAATTAGGGGAAATAACAAAAAATATTAATAATTTTGGTCTCTCAGAGACCTAACGATTACTCAAAATCAAGCCATAGCTCTGTTTAAATATTGGAAAATAAATGTTTCGCAATTCTTTCGATTAGTCATTATTCTATTTGAAAACTTTAAGGGCTAAATAAGTAAAAGATCTTCAATTCTTCGCATTACTAGTCAGAGTATCCGATATGGTTTCTTGTAGATTGTTGACACAAACGTTATGTAAATTGGGGCGACTAGCTGCTGCGATTGAAAAAGCGAAGTATTTTTGATTTTTGAAGTATTTATCTAACCCTAACCAATTCTCAATTGTATCTATCGAGTCCCGGAAAATTGTTCGAACGGAAAATTCTTCGAAAGGAAAATTGTTCGAACGGAAAATTATTCGAACAGAAAATTTTTCGAAAAGAAAATTGTTCAAACAGAAAATTGTTAGAAAGGAAAATTGTCCGAAGAGAAAATTGTTCGAAAGGAAAATTGTTCGAATGGAAAATTATTCGAACAGAAAATTGTTCGAACGGAAAATTGTTCGAAAGGAAAATTGTTCGAATAGAAAATTGTTCGAAAGGAAAATTGTTCGAATGGAAAATGGTTCGAATGGAAAACTGTTAATAAATGTACTTAAAATTATACGCCTCGGAAGCGTAAATCTACCAAAAACGTGAAAAACCTTTTTTAAATACAACAGCTCGAAATAGCAATTATTTTTGAATCTCCGATTGCTTGCTTCGCTCACCGAATCTCAAAAAGAAGATCCCCGGAACCGTAAATTCATGTTGGTACAAAAGAGCGCAGCTCAAAAGCGAGCGGACAAAAGGGCGCAGGTCAAAATATTATTGGCAACCAGTACACTTCTAATCAGTATTAACTGAACTGCAACGAAACTAACCAAAAATATGCAAACTAACCCAAACTAACCCTTCCACGTAATGCGTGCTAGTCCTTGTATGTTATTATTAGATTTAAAAAACCAAGCGCCTCCTATTGTCAAGCAGTACGCTTTTAGCCAGTATTAAACGAACCGTGACCAAAATAAACAAAAATATGTTACCTAGCCCAAACTAACCCAAAAAAAATTGCAAACTAACCCAAATTAACCCGTCCACCTAATGCGTGCTAGTCCTTGTATATTAATATTGAATTTAAAAAACCAAGAATTAAGAATCAGGGACAAATAGTAAGAATTAAGGAATTGGGTAAATCCGGTCATAGATTCATTGACGATTCACAGTTAAACTATTGATTTTTCGGCAAAAAAACAATTTTCCGTTCGCACAATTTACTTTCGAACAAATTTCTTTCGAACAATTATTTTCGAACAATTTTCCGTTCGAATAATTTCCCGTTCGAATAATTCTCCGTTCGAACAATTTTCGGTACGAATAATTTTCCGTTCGAATAATTTTCCGTTCGAACAATTTTCCGTTCGAACAATTTTCCATTCGAACAATTTTCCGTTCAAACAATTTTCCGTTCGAACAATTTTCTGTTCGAACAATTTTCCGTTCGAACAATTTTCCGTTCGAACAATTTTCTTTCGAACAATTTACTTTCGAACAATTATTTTCGAACAATTTTCTGTGGACGGTATCTATCATGTCAATGGAATATTTTGTTACGGTTTACTGATGGTGTTATTCACTTTGACGACTCCCAAAAATTATCACGATGCCTGTAATTCCATATATTGCTCTATAGTTTCTCAAGAAGAGATTCATAACGTGTTGAACGCCTTTACCATGGCTAAGAGGACAGCCATATACAGGGTGTCCGGAATAACTTAGAGATTTTGGAAATCATTGAAGATACAGAAATGGGGAAAAAGTTGCGCAATCAAATCAAGTGCCTATAAATAATCTGTCATCACCTTATTCGAACTTCTTGATTATATCTTTTATAATAAACAAGATATTAAGGATTTTATTGAGCGCACTTTTCCCTTTTTGGAGGTTGATGACAGATGGCCCTTGATTGCGCAACTTTTTCCCCATTTAGTCCATGCACCTACTTCAAGTTATTCCGGAAACCCGTAATTGTTGTTATTTTCTTAGAATCAATTTATAAAATAATTTTGATATTAAAGTTAATAAAAACTTTGACAATTTAAATAAAACAAAATGGCTTTAACAAAACACTAATAAAGCATTTGGCGTAGGTATGTGGCGACCCTATTGCCCACGATCCGAGTTCAAAGCTTGATTGTGCAATCAGCCAGCCCTGAGCTCGAGGGAACCAATCGTCTTAGTTTTTATGCCATATTGGATTGGGTCACCGGAACTTGACCTTAGGGACCGTGGGTCTGCTGACTGTGCATCAGCATACCTACGTTAATAAAAGTCACGCAGAGGCATATTCTATTCTAGGACACATAAGACCATCAAATCTAAAGCAAACGAGAGTTCTTCGGTGACAAATTGCGACGAGAGCAGGATGCAGATTCTGCACCAACCCGCTCCAGGCACTCATCCCAAAGTCCCATTTAGAACTGTTAATGACCATTCTTTGCAGAACGTAGAACAGTACCCATATTCTAAAGGAAAATATGGCAAATTATAGGCCCTCCTGGCGTCCAGTAGGTAGTCCACGACGGACCACAAACTTTTGAAGAACAGCGACGCAGATACGAGACCGGAAAGAGGGATCGCAGGAAGGAGTGCGAGAACAGAAGAAGAGACAATGCTGCCAGAGACTGGGTGTGCCAAGACTGTGAAAGAGTGTGCGACTCCAGAGTTGGCTTAAATTTATACATATAGCCATCAGAAAACGCACAATCGACGACAATAAGACTAGATCTGGATTAAGTGATCGCCTATGATGATGATGAATAAAGCGATATTAAAATAAAATTGCAGGATATTTTGATATTGACTTGGCTATCCAAAGAAGTAACAAGCTAAGAAAAAAAAATCACTTTGCCCGAACAAAACATTTAATTTTAACAAATTTAATGCTCTATGCTGAAAAGAATACATATATCTACTTAATGTTTCCCGTAAGGAGGATCACTATTTGTCCTCAAATAAAATTTTCCTTTAGCGCTAAAAACAAAATATAAAATTGTTGGCACGAATTGAAGCTTGTGTTAGTGTATAACTTACAATTCAACAGTTTGTAAACCGCCCATTAACCTTCTTTCACCATGGCAGCTTCCATCTTTAAAATCATTCCAGCTATCACATCGAGTAGCAAGAAATGTATTCTTATTGATAGATTCCACAAAATATTTCCATGCCATTCTATGAGAGCATTTTTCATGATCTTCATCATCATCACAACCAGGCTGTCTTTCACCTCCATTTGGATAGAAATCCGAGTGTCCAACGGCTCCTGACATTCCATAAAGTTTGTTAGTTGTATGGATGACCTAGAAATAATGATACGAGTGCGACATAATTTTTTGATAAAACTATCATGAATCTCACTTGAACATATTGGGCATCAGTTTTATGTATAGAATCATCACGATTATAGGGGGCGAAAAGAAAGCTTGGAGGGTCCAGAGCAGTGAGTACTCCGATTCTACCATGCAAGTTTTTGCCAATAGCACCGCAAACCTGAGCTCCCAAAGAGTAACCAACCATAGTAACTCGTCCTAAAGAATACGCAAACTCTTTAGATATGTGATCAAGTAATGCAGCAGCCTGCTTTCCTACAAATGGTACTGCAACTCTCGCAGTTACATAACTAAAATATATTTTACTTAATACTTCTTGCTTAGTATTTTTTAAAAAATAGACTTACTCTTCTTTAGCAAATTTGCTCCAATCTACTGTAATGATATTAGCATCAAATTTTGATAAAATAGCCTCTCTGATGAACTTGTTGGAATCGGTTTTAAAATCTTCTGCCCACCCATGAACTAATACTACTGTAGGTAATAGTGGGTTAAAAACTTTAAGAAAATCTGATTCAGGAGGATCTAGTCGAAGATGTTTGCTGTAGTAAATAAAAGATACAGGATCAATTTTTACTTGACCTGAAAGAGAAAAAAGGTTAAATTCTAACTGGATCGAGGTCAGCCGAATGGAAGTAAATATTAATTAAGCAATACCTAAATGGTCAAGTTACCCCTCAGAAAAGTTCCGCCAATCGAACAACTTTTTTTCACGGGAGAATGAGGTGATTAACCGCCTACATACTATTGACATTTATCAAAGGAATATTTCTCTTTCTCAAATTTGTTGCATTGATAAATTTCCAGAAGAGTTATAATTTGCAAATGCGTGTTGTGGAGTTTACGCTATCAAGCTATTCTTATAGTGTCTTTTGCCATTTGTCGGAACTTAGGGTTTCGGCTATTGAATTGTACTTGTATAAAAATTGAAAAGAGATTATCCCAAATATTTTACGATTACCCTTATTCCCATCAAATTTAGTGGGCTGAGGTACCTAAGTTTCAGTGAAAAAAAAATATTGCAAGGCACAAGCCCAAAGAGCACATAGACATCTTACGGACCTCTATAACTTTCAAGACAACATAACAATGACTTTATTAGGTAAAACCCGTTTTCCGCCTTTTAAAGACATCTCTGACGAGATGTTTCAAAGTTGTTCCCAATTGGTGTCTTGAAAACAGCTATCGGAATCGGAATCGGAATATCAAATATTTTCAGCAGAAAAGGCGTAAAAAAATGCAAATAATTTTTTGGTAACATTTTCAAATCCTCCATCAGAAAAAAAAATCAATTGTCTATTTTGTATTTTCTCAAAAATACAGGGAAAGTCAAAAATTTGCCCCTGTTCAGTCCTTGTTGGATGAACCTGTAAATCTGTGGAGGATTCGACGATACAACAAAATGTTCTAGAACGGTATTTATTCTGTGAGCTACCTACTCAAATTAAAATCAAACTGCTTAGAAGCTGATTCAAGAATGTTTTATCACATATTTCATGTAAGAATTCAAGCTGCACATGTTTTTATCCTTAGTGCTAATCAGTTGAGGGAAAACCTTATCTTAATGCTGAACACAGAATAACTAGAACAAACATTTATGTGGAAAAATGCAGGTTGAAGTCAATTGGAACCTATCAACTATTCTTCATTTGGCTATGAAGGGAACAATGGTATCTTACGCTCGATTGTAGGCCTCCGCCAGACCCACTTCTTGGCCTAATGACCAATAGCGTGTCAAATTTTTTGGGGGCCCCCCCCGCGATCTTTTTTTTGAGGCCCCCTATGTCACTATTATATTTTCCAAAAATAACCCATTATAGTAAATATTTATACACAATATCATTATCTAATCAGTGTTTAAAAAAGTTACTGGAGAATATATTGGGCCTGATTCGAGATTTAACTCAAAATTTGAATCTTCGTTTTCGAGAATATTTGCACCTTCAATGTCTGGTAGGATAGTTTCATCATCATACACTTCTGTTTTTGATGATGAGGTTGCGGATGTTGACGGCGTTTCAGAAGTTGATATAATTTTTTTTTGAAAAAACGTATCAATTTTGGCAATCTTCTTCTTCTCCTCCTAGTTTTCTTTTTTGAGCTCCACTCAGATATTTGCGCGAGCTACTCATGTTAATATTTCAAATATCAACTCAAAACTCAAACGTAACAAGTGAAACAACAAAGACTCGCTAAAAACCGGAAATTCCCTCGAAATTCCCATTAAAACGGGGAATAACCTATGGGAATCACTGAGGTTTCGACCAGCCAGGATTGACAATAATTGTTTGGGCGTTCACATTTTTTATGTTTGAAAGAAATGGTGACAAATTAAATATGGATTTGAAATGTTCAAATGTGCATATTTGTATTTTTGGAGTTGGTTTGATATACATAGGTACTACTTTTCCTTAGAGTATATTGGGGGCCCGGAGGCCCTCAATATGCCGTGGGCCCCCCGCGTGGCGGGGTCTGCGGGGCCGTTTGACACGCGCCTGCTAATGACATAAATAACTATTCTCTTCTATTCCTACACGAGTAGGTACGATTAATATTAGGAGAGTATTGAGCGATAAAAATAGAGAAACGGAGATCACACTCACCCCTCACTAAGCATATGAATGCCAAACTAAAATGCAAGCAATACAAGTATTTCATTTTTGGACTTTTTGTCACTGACTGAATTTATTATGAGTGCCGTTGATAATATATATAGCCCGTCCCTCACGTAGACGCGTATCGAAATCCGTAAATTTTTTCAGATAAAATGTAAAATTCACTATTTGTACCTAATGTTATCTGAAATTTTTCATTTTTGAACAGTTAATGGTCAATTTTTTAAAATCAAACCTTATTTATATGCTTTTTAAATACAAGGTACTAGATTTAATTAGCTCTACTGAAGCAAAAAATATATGCACAACGAATTTAAATGGTCATTTTAGTTTGGAAATTTTTGGGGGTTCATTATTTACTTTATGAATAGATCTGGATATATCGATGGAATACTTTAAACGCTTCAGAGTGATACTGTTTGTCAACATTACTTTTTTCAGAGAATATGCTATTTGGAAAGTTTTTAGTTAACATCACTTCCATGATTTCTGGCCATTTAAATATTGTGCCTTTCTCACTTTTTTTCATTGTCAAAATTCGAAGCTCTTCTAAAAACTCCCTAAAATCTAAAAAATCGTTACATGTAACAGGTATGGTTTTGTAAGGTTGCTTTCTACGGGCCAGGCGAACTTTAGTGAAGCTGTGAAGGCACATCAATTTCAGCTGCTGAAAAGATAGCACTTGAAATATTATGGGCGATGCATGGCCGTGGCTTTGCTAATTTTTAGTTCCAAAATAGCAAAGAGTAACATTTTCTAAAGTTTACATAAAATGTGAAGTTGAAATTAGATAGTTGGCTTTTAGGAAAAATTGCACTTCCTTTTATAGAAATGGGCAAGTGTATGAAATTTATTGCTTGCTGTGAGTCGAATGCGCCACAAAGCATAGTTGTGGTGTCTTTTTTGGCTTTCTCTTCATTTGCTGATTTGATAACTCTCATATACAACTTTTTTTTCCAAAATATGGACCTTGTACTCATCAGACATCAATTGGTTGGCATCAGGTGATTTTTATATTTACGGCTGTACGTAAGAATAGAAATGCAGGCTATGCAGTTTTCAAAAATATCACGTTTAGGCGTACGTGATAAACGATATCACGCCTATACGTGATTTTTTTAATACTATAAACCAGGCTGTGTGTGACTTATCGAAATTTACTCTCATATGTCGTCTGAGAGAGAAGCAATAAATAATTGTAAAGAGGTACCTACTGGATTTTATTGGATCACATTTTGGAGAAATTTATATTTAAACTTTAGTTTGATAGTTAATATTGGAAAATGGACTAAGAAATAAAAGAACTTAATAATTATCGATTCTCAATATATATAATAAATCGAAATAGCCATACTGATGAAATCTGATAGGTCGAAACGCGTCTGTGGACGGAATAGCAAGGAAAATTAATCCAAAATTTTCACGTCAGTGGATGATAGGAGAAAACTTGTTCTCCCTATTTTGGGTTTTCCCAACTAACTCATTTTTGGTCGGCCTATTAGATGGTCAGTACTAAAACACCAAAAGTGCTCTTTAGTGTTGAATCCTAGTCTTAGATGGCACCACAATCAAATTTCGTTCGTCTTATTAGGTATATCGAACACAGCGTGGAAAGCAGAGCGAGTGAACTCATAGAACTAACTATAGGAATTGACTACTACACCTCAAAAGAAAAAGAACTAGAAACCCTTTCTTAACCTTTAACTACCCGCGCCGGTGTATAAAATACACTATGTCTCCCAAAAAGGCGGTAGAAACCCTATCCGCTATCCCCCACTCATGCCCGTCGATGTAATCCTACGACCGATATGTTCACTAGGTGCCCAGACAGTGGGCTTTGGTAGCTGGAAAATTAGTTGGTTTATTGACAATTTCTTTAGTGCACTTCACCAGACTGTAGTGCAAATGCAAGCATATTCATGGGTTTGCTAATGTTATCTGGATATAAGAAACAAAATCCTACCCACTTTTTGGAACTCTGGACGACAGACAGCTCTGTAATTTTTCCATCATGTATAGGTGAATGACAAATCAAGGCGCAATGTTTCGTTATCCTTATACATTAATTCATGCACTCCAAACATTCATAAATGTGGTGTACATAATACACCGCGCGGGTACCTACAGGAGATTCCAGAGCACGGGCAGCTAAAGGTTAAGTAAACAATTCTTCATTTTTTTTATCTCACATAAAAACTAGTAGGTAGCTTTGTTCCAACAGACATGAGAAACTTTCCAGAACCGGTAAATTCCAGTTGTTAACCTATTTTTCAATAATTTGAACGTTTATCCTAATTGATAAATGAATTGACCGACTGGAAATTACCGTTCTAGAACGGTTATCATTCACATTCAGTCATCCATAGCTGCAATATAAATAAGCAAAATAAAGGCTAATAATCAAAGTTAAATTTATTAATTTTTGGTTCACAGAATATGAATATCAGTTTATCCAACAGTTAGAATATCAAACTGTCAATTAGGTATGAAAGTTGAAACTAAGTGATATAGATTGGGCATACCTAAGCACCCAACCAATGGGTAGGTGAATAAACTTACGGAGTTCACCTAGTATCGTGCAGTGCGCTTTATGTTAGGGGGGACCTCGATGATGGTGCCTTAAAGGCGAAACGACGTATTTTGATAATGCCTTGTAAAGAAGAAAAAGTAATAATGATGAAGTATTATTTTGAAATAGCTCTCCAGATAAATTAAGAAAAAAAAAAGATATGGGTAGCAAAGTTTTGGTTTTCCTCGAACATCTCCAGAAAAAAAGAAAACTCCTCAAGATGCTCCAAAGACTCCCTTTTGTACACCACCAAACCAATCATCCGCTCTATGATTAGTTCACATATCAAGCAGAGGAGAAAAATAATTTTGGTCTTTCAGAGACCCAACGATTACTCAAAATTAGGCAATACTCACAGCCATAGATCTGTTTATATTTTGGAAAATAAATGTTTTAGAGTGTGAGACAGCCTTTTTTTGAGGCGTGAAAATATCAATAAGGGCTTAATAAATAAAAGATCCTAAATTCTTGGCATTATCAGTCATAATTCGTTATCTGCTTACTATGAGAATGAGAATAGCTTTATTCAGAATTCTTCCTCCATATATATTGCATAGCAATTTTTGTGTTTGAGACGGATTCGTGATATTACCAGTTTTTTGGGTAGATAATATAATATTTCCGCTGCAACACTGCTTTCTAAAAGAAGTTTATCCTCAATATATGGTGACCCTCAAAACATCCCAGAACACATGTTTGTGTTTACTTAACGATGATAAGACGTGAGTTGCTAGATATTACAACCCTTCCACTGCAGCTCTCTTTTGTGAAAGGAGTTGACCTTTTAAAGTGTGTTACCTACTTGTCAAAACACCCAGTACACATGTCTGTGTTTACTCAAAAATGATTATGTCGATAAAGCCTGGGTTATTGGGTATTGTAGCCTTCCACGTTGACAACCTGAGTTATCGTCCAAGTAATTCCCAAAGACCTTCAACACGATGCCTCTAACTCCATATTGCTCTATAGTTTCTCAAGAAGAGATTCATGAGGCACATTGTTAAACGCCTTTGGAAGGTCAAAGAAGACCACCATACATTTGTTGTTATTTTCTTAGAATCAATTTATAGAACAATTTACTTATTAAACCTTAATAATAACTTTGGCTGTTTCAATAAAACAAAATAGGTAGCTTTTACAAAATACTAATAAAGCGATATTGAAATAAAATTGCACTATGTTTGATATTGGTACTTAGCTATCCAAGGAACCAAAAACCTGAGAAAAGAAAATTCACTTTGCTCGGTCAAAACATACTTATTTATTTCAATAAATGCTCTGTGCTCAAAAGAATAAGTACCTACATTATATCTACTCAATGTTGCCCGTACGGAGAAGCACTATTCGTCTTCAAATAAAATTTTCCTCTAGCCCTAAAAACAGAATATAAAATTGTTGGCACGAATTAGAGCTTGTATTAGAATATAACTTACGATACATCAACAGTTTGAAAACCACCCATTAACCTCCTTTTACCACGGCAGCTTCCATCTTTATAATCACGCCAGCTATGACATTGAGTAGCAAAAAATGTATTGTTATTGATAGATTCCACAAAATATTTCCATGCTCTTTTATGAGAGCATTTTTCATCATCTTCATCATCACAACCAGGCTGGTTTACACCTCCATTTAGATAGAAATCCGAGTCTCCAACGGCTTCTAACATTCCATAAAAATTACCATCTGTATGGATGACCTGGAAATAATGATACGAGTGCGACTTCATTTTTTGATAAAAATATTATGAATCTTACTTGAACATATTGAGCATCAGTTTTATATACACAATAATCATGATCAAAAGGGTTGATACCAATGCCCGCAGGGTCCAGAGCTGTGAATACTCCAATTTTACCGTGCAAGGTTTTGCCAATAGCAGCGCAAACGTGAGCTCCCAAAGAGAAACCAACCAGGGTAACTTTTCTTAAAGAATACCCAAATTTATTAGATATTTTATCGAGTAATTTAGCAGCCAGCCTTCCTACAAATGGTACTGCATCTCTTGCAGTAGAATATCTAAAATATATTTCACTTAATACCTCCTGCTTAATATTTTTTTTTAAAAATAGGCTTACTCTTTTTTAGATAGTGGGCTCCAATCTACTACAATGATATTAGCATCAAGTTTCGATAGAATAGCTTCTCTGATGAAATAGTTATTATCGGCTTTATAATTTTGTTTCCACCCATGAACTAAAACTATTGTAGGTAATCGTGGGTTAAAAACTTCAAGAACATCTGATTTAAGAGGATCTGATGTATTTCGATGATGTTTGCTGTAGTAAATAAAAGATACAGGATCAATTTCTGCTTGACCTGAAAGAGAAAAACGGTTAAATTCTTAAAAGTTGTTATTAGAATATACTGGATCGAGGAAAGTCATATGAAAGCAAAAATTATTAAGCAAAACATGGTCAAGTTACCCCTCAGAAAAATTCCACCAATCCAACAACTTTTTTTCACGGAGAATGAGGTGAATTACCGTAGTAGGTACACTATTGACAGGTATCAAAGGAATATTAGTCTTCTCAAATTTGTTGCATTAATAAATTGCCAGAAGAGTTATAATTTGCGAATGCGTGTTGTGAAGTTTAAGCTATCAAGCTAATTTTATAGCGTCTTTTGCCATTTGTTGGAATTCAGGATTTCGGCTATTGAATAGAACTTGTGTAACGATAAGAGAAAGATTATCCCAAATATTTCACGATTACCCTTCTTCTCATCAAATTTAGTGGGCTGAAGTAAATTTTAGTGGAAAAAAAGTAATGCAAGACACGCCCAATAAGAGTACATAGACATCTTACGGACAACTATAACTTTTAAGACGTCTTATGGATGTCTGTTTACGTCTACAAGGCATCTACATAATAATGTCTTTAAAACCCGTTTTCCGCATTTTAAAGACATTTCTAACGAGAAGTTTCAAAGTTGTTTTCAATTGGTGTCTTAAACCAGCTATAGCAATTTGAATATCAAATATTTTCAACAGAAAAGACGTAAAAAAAATGCGACTTTTCCAAAATTCATTAATTTAAAAAACAGTTCATCCATGGCGTAACTCTTTGGTTTTTGTTTCAAATAATTTTTTGGTACGATTTTCAGATTCTCCAAAAAAAAAAAAAATATTTCGAATGGTCATTTTGGATTTTCTCAAAAATATAGGGAAAGTCAAAAATTTGCCCCTGTTCCTGGTTAGATCGATGAAGAACCTGTAAATCTGTGGCGGATTTGACGATCGAACAAAATGTTTCAAGCTGAAACGGTCTTCATTCTGTGAGGTAGTTGATAATTAGTGCGGCTTCTACAGCTTAAACAAAAAAAAAGTCAAATTCCGAAGTTGTAGGGTTTTATCTATATTATCTTTCGCAAATGTCAGGTCTCAACTGTCATAATGAAAAACACCTGGATTTTTTCAAATAACTTACCCTGTATATTTTTGGCTAGAATGATGGATTTTTTTCTCCTGATTCCAAACACACCATATATTCAGTTCAGCTGTTTTTGCGCTATTTTATTTTAAAATTGCATTGAGCAAGCCTCGAGAAATCGGGAACAGACCTAATTTACCGTAATGTAAATGCGTTTTTAAACTTAAATAGCGTAAAAACAGCTGAACCATATATCAACTATAAGTATTTGAAATCAGAAGAAAAAAATCTAGCATTCTAGCCAAAAATATGCAAGTGTCCAACAGGTGCTGACATTTCTACCATCATTTGTATGGATGACCTGGAAAAATGCAAGTGCTTTTTATTCCTATTTTGTTGTATTCCTCTTTAAAAACACAAGTAGCTCTTTCAGGCGGACCACGTTTACCTACTCATCGCCTCCTTCCAAAGGAAAAAAAACAGTCTTTGGTAGCAAGGTCATAAAATGTGAAGTTGAATCTACATAAAAATGTCTTCAAACCTCATTTTCCACATTTTTTTTTTTATATATAACTTTATTTGTGAACTTAAAACAGTACATTTAAATGACTGGTAACAAGTCCTAATATTTAAGAATAATAACAATAATAAATAAATCTGAGATTACACCTATTATGTTACACATATAATACTTATAGCGAAACTAAAACCCATAAAGAATATATACAATATCATCACAATGTTAACTATGAGTTTTGAACAAACAAACAGTTTTTAATTCTGATAGAAAAAGGTACAGGAGCAGTTATTCTTTTAGTATCCTCTGGAATTTTATTGTAGGATACTGAGGCTTGGTTGATTACACTGTTCTTTCTCAGGTTTGTTCTTGATGTTGAAACATACAAATTACTGCGTTGTCTGGTACTGTGACAGTGAATATTACTACTTTTAATTGGTTTAATATTAGATTTAATTTGTTTATGTATAATTTTTTGCATTAGTTTACTTTCCTCCAAATGGACAACTTGTTCAACTTTTAAGTGCTTATAGTTTTTATATATTTCTTTAGTAGGGTACAATCTTGGAAGTTTATATAAATATTTAATAAAACGATTTTGAAGTCTCTGGAGTTTTTGAATTTGTGTTTTTGAAGCAGACGCCCAAATTGTACACATGTATTGCAAGTGTGATTTAAATATTGCTTCGTATAATGCTGATTTCATAAAAACAGGAAGAGTTACAACACATCTTTTTATAGCACCACAAGCACTGGCCAATTTTTGCTTCAATTTATTTAGGTGATATTTGAATGTTAAATCCTTGTCTACTATAAGCCCTAAATATTTATAAAAATCTACATTTTTTAACAAAACATTGTTTAATTTAATGTTTATGGCATTTGATAGTTTATTTTTTTGTTTGAACAACATATATACAGTTTTACTTATATTAATTTTCAAATTGTTTTTTAGTAACCACTTGAAGTATGTTAGAAGACATTGATTAACATCATGTTCCAAGCTTTTTGTATCCTGACCCTCAAACAGTAAGACAGTGTCATCAGAAAAGGTTATGTATTTACACTTTAAGTCTACCTTTGATAAACTATGTACGTATAGCAAATAGAGCAGCGGCCCCAAAACAGAGCCCTGTGGGACGCCTGTAGTTGCTTTTTCTCGGTTGCTTTCCTTTTGATTCACAAATGTATATTGTTGTCTGTTAGTAAGATAAGTTTTGATAAGGTTATGAACTATATCTCTTATTCCCATACTGTATAATTTGTCCAGGTCCAAGGAGGAGAATTGTAGTATTAACAGTGTCAAAGGCTTTTTGAAGATCTATGAAGACTGCTATTACAAAATTATTTTTGTCCAATCCAGCAGAAATATACTCAATTAAATCCACCGCTGCTGCTTGTGTATTGCTAGCTTTTTGAAAGCCATATTGTTGAGGGTCGAATTTAAATGAGTTTTCAATAAAATTACATAATCTTGCCTTTATTACTCTCTCTGTAATTTTAGACAATGTTGATATGAGTGCAATAGGCCTTTTGTTACTTGGTTCATGCAAACAGATTTTGGCTAACTTTAGACAATGGGGATACTGACCATCTGACATCATCTTATTAATTAAATAAGCCAGAATAGGAACTAGCAACTCTTTTGAGTCCTGTATGTCTGTCGTTGTTATCCCATATAATCCAGGAGCTGAATTTTTTGTTTAAACTGTCTATTATTTGTGTTAATTCTTCTCCAGTACATGGGTTGAAAAAAATAGACTGATCTTGGTGTTCTTCTGGAAATTCGTCATCGGAACATATGTGTGTGTAAAGCTGTCTTTGTTGCACAACTTCTTGACCAATATTGCTTCCTACGTCTCTAAAGTAGATGTTCAGATTATTTGCTATCTGCTGATCTTCATCGATTTTTTTGCCATTAATTAATAGGTGATCAATATGGTTTGTCTCATCATGCCTTGCATAATTATTCGAAATAACACTGTTCACAACCTGCCATGTTTTTCTTATATTTCCACGAGCAATTTCAAACTTTCGAGAAATGTAGGTTTTTTTAAGCTTGTGTTTTAAATTGTTACATTGATTTTTCAAAGATTTAAATTCACTTCTTAAGTAAGTGTTGTCCGGATTTCGTTTTAATTTTGTGTAAGTTTCATCTCTCTGCTTTATCAGATACAAAAAGTGACCATTTATCCAATCATTGTTGCGATCATAAATTGTTTTAGTGGTGGTAGCCTCTTTTTTTGCATTTTGTATTACATATATTAGTGACTGAAAATCGTTTATATTACTTTGTCTAATTAAGTAGGTTAGCAAGTTTTGAACAGTACGCTCCTTTATTAATATAAGTTATATTATGCCTTTCCTTTGGTTTTCTTATAATTTTAAATTGTTTCATATCTATTAACTGTATTTTATGATCTGTTAGGCAACTATCATAGAGGTTTAAGCTCATATCAGAGTTTTTATTATTAGTAATTGAATGGTCAATAAGTGTTTGTGTATTGTTGGATTCTCTAGTAGGTTTAGCTTGATTAACAAGTGTAAACCCGTTTACTGCTATTGAAGATTTATAGTCATTTTTTTGCTCAGAGTCTTGCAATAAGTTTAAATTCATATCACCAATTATAAAAGTTTGATCTTTTAAATCATGGAGTACATTATCAAAATCATTTAAAAATAGGTTAAAATTTACCGATGGAGGCCTGTAAACAGTAATTATTCTAATATTTGGATTACATAATTTAATTATGAGCCAATCGCAGTTATTAATTGATTTGTTAACTTCAACTTCATATTTCAAATAGTTTTTTATATAAACAGATACTCCTCCACCTCTTGTAGGTCTACAGCTATGTTCCATGTTGTAATTTTGCAAATTATATAATCTAGCCTCACCTTCATATATCCAATTCTCTGTAAAAACTAGTATTTCTGGCTCCTCATAGCAATTTAACATTATTTCAATGTCCTCCAGTTTATTTCTTAGACTGCGTATATTAGTACATAAAATCTTTAAATTTAACGAGAATTCTTTAAAACAACAATAACAAATTAATTTCATTGATATTTTTAGATTTAAAAAGAAAATAGAAAATAATCAATCAATGTCGGAACGGAGATCACACTTACCCCACCTTACTAGTGAGCAAATGAATGCCAAACTAAAATACCAAAAGTATTTCATTTTTGGGCTTTTTGTCACTGACTGAATTTCCTATGAGTGTCGCTGCTAATATATAGCACGTCCATCAAAATTTGTAATTCTGAGACGATAAAATGTAAACTTTACCATTTTTAATGTTATCTGGTGCTTTAATTTTTGAACATTTAACGGTACTGGACCTATGATAGCTTCTATAGGTTTTCGAGAGAAAAATAAAGTTTGCATATATGTAGGTACGTTTCTACGTGATACTTTTTTTTTTGTAAATAAGATACGGCTTCTAAAAGGTAATAGTAGGTGATAAGATACTGAAGAAAAAAAAGTTTCTAGTAGCGTGTGACAGGTAACACTTTCTCACAATAATTAACTTTGTACCTATCACGTGCAAAAAAAAAAAATTCTGCAATTATTAGGTAAAAATAACTAATAGTAAAACAATTACATATTTGACATTGTGTTTACAAGCAACGAAAAAGAAGAAACATAATTTAATTGGCTTCACTGAAGCAAAAAATATGCACAACGAATTCGAATGGTCATTTTAATTTGGAAATTTTTGTGCGTTCATTATTTATGTACCTAATGAATTGATCTGGATACATCTTTGGAATACTCCAAACGCTTCAGAGTGATTTTGTCTGTCAAGATTACTTTTTTCAGAGAATATGCTGTTTGGAAAGTTTTTAGTTAACATCACTTCGATGATTTCTGGCCATTTAAATGTAGTGCCGTTCTCACTTTCTTTTACTGTCAAGCTCTTCTGAAAACTCCTTAAAATTTAAAAAATTGATGTACGTAAAAGGTATTGTCACAGCTCTGGTGTGCGTGACAGAAATCTTGGGTCCGTTTATTCCAACATCAAAGTCTAATTAACACAACAATAATTTATTCCACGTTACTATACACTCTGACACTAATTACTTCACTAATTAACTCAAACAACTTAACTCTTTACAACTTTTACAATAGGTAATCACTACCTAAAACGTATCACAGCCAAACTTAAACTTAAAAACTACTAACTAATACTAAGTTAATACCGGCCTTTATATATCCGTAATCCATTCTTATAAAATAAGGCAGTCTTTTCTGGAATTTTAGGCATAGATTCTGTATATGCTGGCGAAACCACACCGTAACAGTATAGTTTTGTAAGATGGCTTTCTACGGGCCAGGCAAATTATATAGGGTGAAGCTGTGAAGGCACATGAATTTCTGCAAGAGATATAGCACTCGAAATAGCACTGTGCGCTGCATCGCCTTCGCTTTGCCCATTTTTAGTTTCAAAATAGCAAAGAGTAACATTTTAGGCCAAGAAATGAAGGAAGTTTACCTCAACATAATTAGAAGTTAACATTTTTTGGGGAGGATCGGTTCATTTTTATATGCTTAATAACATATTAAGTTTGCGACCTTGTACTTCCATAGGGTTTTTAGTTAGGGGTGGTTTTTAGGGGTAATTTGCGGTTTATGAAGAACGCTGCTCAAAGGGATGGTCAAATAGCAAAAAGTTTCAAATGAATGTTGTAGCTGAAGTTTTTTGCTATAAAAAACTCAGCGACAGCACCCTTCTATCTTCTATAGTTTTTTTTCTGCAGCGTCTTGAATACTAGCATGATTTTATTCAAGGTCACTGAATCAACGTTTTACCTGTTTTCGCGTCTTTGATGCAGCAGCGGCTAAATGCCTAATCCGATTTCAATTTTTTAAACACCACATTATTGCTAATGAAATACATTCTCCAATGCTTTTTTGTTCGAATTTTTTGCTTGAAAATTAAGCGAGCACGGACTTGCTTATGTGCGAGGAAGTTGTAAATGAAATTTTAATTGCTTCACATGACTGTTGCAACAAATTGCAGTATATTCATAAGCACAATAAATGAAGCCATCGTACCAAATTTCAGCGCTGTGCGACAATTTTAATTTTTTTTCGACTTTTTGAAAAATTCCGCGCCACGTGTTCAGGCCAATAAGTGATTGAGTAATTAACGAAAAAAAAATACGCTAGGGCAATATGAGAAGAATAAATGGGTTGCCGATTGTTGAAAACTGTCACCAAATATTTGGCCAGGTTTAGAAATTACAGTGAATGCAAGAAAGGGGTAGTTTTCGATGCGATTTACAACTTCCTAGCACATTAAGCAAGTCCGTGCTCGCTTAATTTTCAAGCAAAAAAGCATTGGAGAGTGCATTTCATTAGCAATAATGTGGTGTTTAAAAAATTGAAATGGGATTATGCATTTAGCCGCTGCTGCATCAAATGCGCGAAAACAGGTAAAACGTTGATTCAGTGACCTTGAATAAAATCATGCTAGTATTCAAGACGCTGCAGAAAAAAAACTATAGAAGATAGAAGGGTGCTGTCGCTGAGTTTTTTATAGCAGAAAACTTCAGCTACAACATTCATTTGAAACTTTTTGCTATTGGACCATCCCTTTGAGCAGCGTTCTCCATAAACCGCAAATTACCCCTAAAAACCACCCCTAACTAAAAACCCTATGGAAGTACAAGGTCGCAAACTTAATGTGTTATTAAGCACATAAAAATTAACCGATCCCCCCCAAAAAAATGTTAACTTCTAATTATGTTGAGGTAAACCCTCTCTTTAGATCCCCATTTCTTGGACTATTTTCTAAAGTTGAAATTTTTTTTATATAATACAGTCGCCAACGGAATAATACTAATTTTGTTTTAACTGTAGCCCCTTTAACAAAGAAACGCTTTTTATTCTTCTTTTGTTATGGCTATTCTTCTGATACTTTAAAAACACTAGTGGCTAGTCCAGACGAACTACGTTTACCTACTGATCGCCTCCTTTCAAAGGAAACAAAAACAGTCTTTGGTAGCAAGGTCAAAAAATGTGAAGTTGAAATTAGATAGATGGCTTTTATAAAAAATTGCACTTTCTTTAGAAATGGGCAAGTGTATTACTTGCTGTAAGTGGAATGCGCCACAAAGCATAGTGATGTCTTCTTTGGCTTTTTCTTTATTTGTTGATTTGATATTTCCCACAGCTTTTTTCTCCAAAATTGGAACATTGTACTTATCAGACAATTGGTTGACATCAGGTTATTTCATATTTACGCCTGTACGTGAGAATAGAAATTCAGGCTACCTGTGCAATTGTAAAATATCACGTATAGGCGTACGTGATAAGTGATATCACGCCTATACGTGATTTTTTAAATTTTATTTAGGGTTTTGGTTTTTTCACCTTCTGATAAATTTTCAGGTATGCAATCTGACGGATAAAAATGCAATCCTCAATCTCATTGGTCGGCCAGTTATCCGCCGACCAATAGAATAATAGATAGCTAACAGCAAGTTTACCTGAAGATGGATAAACCAGGCCTTAGTGTGACTAATCGAAATTTGCTCTCATATCGTCTGAGAGAGAAGCAATAAATAATTGTAAATAGGTAGGTACTGGATTTTATCGGATGATATTTTAGTATAAGTACAAAACACTGATAAAGCGATATTGAAATATAATTGAACTATGTTTTAATATTGGTACTTCGCTATCCAAAGAAGAAAAAACCTGAGAAAAGAAAATTCACTTTGCCCGAACAAAACATATACTTATATATTTATTTTAATAAATGCTCTATGCTCAAAAAAATACATTATTATCCATTTAATGTTGCCCGTATGGGGGAGCACTATTTGTCGTCAAATAAAATGTTCCTTTAGCGCTAAAAACGAAATATAAAATTGTTGGTGCGAATTAGAGCTTGTGTTAGAATATAACTTACAATACATCAACAGTTTTCAAACTACCCATTAACCTCCTTTCACCACGGCAGCTTCCATCTGCATAATTACGCCAACTATCACATCGAGTAGCAAAAAATGTATTGTTATTAATAGATTCCGCAAAATATTCCCATGCTCTGTTATGAGAGCATCCTCCAAGTAGATCTAAGCCACAACCAGGCTGTCTGGAACCTCCATTTGGATAGAAATCCGAGTGTCCAATGGGTGCTGACATTCCTAAAGTACCACCATTTGTATGAATGACCTGGAAATGATGATACGGGTGCGACGCCATTTTTTGAATTGAATTATGTAACTTACTTGAACATATTGAGCATCAGTTTTATGTACACAATAATTACGATCAGTAGGGCTGATAAAGGGACCTGCAGGGTCTAGAGCTGTGAGTACCCCGATTTTACCGTTCAAGGTTTTGCCAATAGTAGCGCAAACGTGAGCTCCTAAAGAGAAACCAACCATGGTTACTCGTCTTAAAGAATACCCAAATTTATTAGATATGTTATCAAGTAATTTAGCAGCCAGCCTTCCTACAAATGGTACTGCATCTCTTGCAGTGAAATAACTAAAATATGTTTTAATTAATACCTCCTGCTTAGTTTTTTTTTTTTAAATGGACTTACCCTTTTTCAGATAAAGGGCTCCAATCTACTTTAATGATATTAGCATCAAGTTTCAATAAAATAGCATCTCTGACGAAAGAGTTTGAGTCGGCTTCATAGTTGTCTTGCCACCCATGAACTAATACGATTGTGGGTAATTGCCGGTTAAAAACTTTATGAAGATCTGATTCATGATTTAAAAAATATCCATTTCGATGATGTTTACTGTAGTAAATAAAAGATACATCACCAGGATTAATTTTCGCTTCACCTGAAAGAGAAAAACCGCTAAATTCTAAAAAGTTGTCATAAGAACGTACCTACTAGATCGAGACACCAATAGGACAACTTTTTTTCATGGGAGAATGAATTGCATTATAATGTAGCTACTATTGACAACTCTAATCAAAAAAATTATTTACCATGGAAGCGGAAGGTTTCAAGAACATTCTTGTTAAATATTTATTAGAAAACAGAATGTTCATCAAAGCTTCATAAAGCCACCTCAGAAATATATTTTTCTGAGAATATTACAGGTATTAAGATATTTTTTTAAATTATTCGAGGGAATCTTTATTCTCTCTTGAATTTTTTGTGCCTACTCTTAAGGGCTAAATAATAACAATGCGAGTTATCCAAATAGAATTTCAGTTATCAAAGGAATACCTATATTATTGGTCTGAATTTAGGATTTCGACTTTTGGATTGAACTTGTCTAAAGAATAAAAAGGGATTATCCCAAATATTTCACGATTAGCCTTATTCTCATCAAAATTATGTATTTGGCTTTGTTTTTTTATATTTAGGTAAGTTTATGGCAAAATATGAGGATCAATATATAACCTTCAAGACGTCTAATGGATGTCTGTCCACGCACACAAGACGTCTTTAATGGCATCTTGAAATTTGTTATAGCCTACAACGTCTTCAAGACATCAACATAACAATGTCCGCTGTAGACCGATTTTCCACATTTTAAAGACATGTTAAACAAGATGTTTTAAAGTTGTCCAATCGGATATCTTGAAGACGTCCTCAATTAAGATGTTTCAAAGAGCTGTGGCCTCGGAATTGTATAATAGGCAAATTCAATAACAGTGAAGTTGAATTTCTAAATGAAATTTAGGTATAAATAGATGCAGGCGATTTCATCGTCACACCTTCTCATGGTTAACTTGTTTGTAACCATTAAAATCTTGTTTATTTTTCAGCCTCAATTAATGGAAATAAATCAATCCGTCTTTTATTCCCCTTGTTTGGAATTATTGAATGTGCAGATTCCAATTTGTCCACTTTTATTTTTAATTCTGAAAGTTTCAAAATAATACTCAATAGAAATAGATAAGTGTGATTTTATTGGCAGAGTGTTGAGCGATATAAATAGAGAAACGGAGATCACACTTACCCCTCACTAGTAAGCAAATGAATGCCAAACTAAAACACCACAAGTATTTCATTTTTGGGCTTTTTCTCACTGACTGAATTTACTATGAGTGTCGCTGATAATATATAGCAATACTATTTAGTGTGACTGATCGAAATTTAATCTCATGTCGTCTGAGAAAGTAGCAATAAATAACTATAAATATACTGGATATGTATTACTGTATGACATTTTAGGAAAATGTAAATTTTAACCTTTGTTAGGAAGTAAAAACATCAAACTCTCACAATTAGGTAGTGATATAGATTGGGTAAGTAGGTACCCAGTTGCCAGTGAGTAGGTAAATGAACTTATGGATTTCACCCAGTATCGTACCGTGCCTTTTGAGTTCCCGCAAACAGCACACAAAATCTAAAAGACGTATTTTTTAGGTCTGTATCACGCCTGGGTCCTTATTCTCGAAACAGGGGAGCAGCTTTCTCATGACAACGAAGGCTCTGTCTTCGTCGCTCATATTCATATTTCCATATCATTGACAAAGACACAGCCTTCGTTCTCATGAGAACGCTGTTCCCCGGTTTCGAGAATAAGGAACCAGAGGGTCTGAAGAACAAAAAAAGACGTTTAGAAGGCGTTGTTTTGAAGATGTCCATAAGATGTCGTTAATTCACATTTATGTCTTGAAAAAATAAGATTCAAATAAGACGTCTTTATAATGTCGTAGTCCTAAAGATGTCTTTAGGCAGACGTTTGAAAGACGTTGGGTTTTGTAACCTACGTCTTCAAGATGTCTTTAAGACTTCTTAAGCAAGACGTCTTGAATGTCCTTTGTGGACATTTTAGGGATATCTTTAAGATATCTAGAAAATACAAAATTTCCTACAGAATTCGTTTCTCATTCAATTTAGAAATTACTGGAAACCATTTAGAATGCTACAGAACACTTTAGAACTTTAATAAGCATTCTGGAAAGTTCAAAACGCTCAAAATTTAATTTAGAATTTCCAAGAGCATTTTGGAAATTTGAGAACTATTTTAGAATGCCCCAAAACATTCAAAAACCGATTTACAATTTCCAAAAGCATTTTAGAACAATTCATTTTGAAACCCATTTAATTTAGGACGCTCCAAAAACTCAAACGCTCTACAATCTCCAGAAAAATTTTGAAAAGCGCTAGAATCTTAGGATACAGGTTAAAAGTTACAAAACGCCCTTCAGAAGGCTTTTAAGAGCGTATTTAGATTGCTGTAAAGCTTTAGACCATTAGTGCAATGGCCACCGCACCGCACAAAGCATCCAAAACACTTCAAATCCAAATCGGAATTTTCAGGAGCATTTTGGAATAATTGAGGAACTGCAGAGTAATTTTAGATCAATTAGGATTCAATTTGGAACTGGAAACTTTTTAAAAATCTTTCGAACCAATTTAGAACACTTTGGAACTTACTGAACAGACAGACAGAACAATCTGTCAGGACAATTTAGAAATTACTGAAAAACTTCTAGAATGCTCCAGAACTCTTCAAGCCAAGTTAGCACACTTTAGAACTTCAACAGCAACATTTTGCAAGGCTTCGGAACAATTTAAAAACCTCAGAATTATGTCAGAGAGCCTAGCGCCTGGAACAGACAAAAATTGAAAGTTATGAAATGAGTAATAATAAGGAAATATTAGCAAGAAAATGTTTCTGTTTCAAATCAAATTCTTGAATTTTTATAATTTTTCCCATTCCAGGCTCTTGATTTTTCCTTATTTCTTTATTCTAAATTCCTAATTTTTTTTTTGGCTCTTGAATTTCTTCAAGTAAGTTTTTGAATTCTCATTATTACCGTATTTGAGAATTTCAGGTTCTTGGATGGTTTTTCAATTTCTACTCCTGGCTCTTCTAATGTTTTTCTTCCAAAATGAATTGTGTGTATGTTTTCGTTTAGAAGAAATCAATAAGAATTTAAGAGGCTAGCATTTGCAATAGACAAAAATTGAGAGTTATAATATGCTGGAATATTAGTCCTGAAGACTTCTTTAGGCAGACGTCTGAAACACGTTGGGGTTTTGTAACATACGACGTCTTTGAGATGACTTTAGGACGCCTTGAAGACGTAAGCAGGCGTCAAGTGACAAGCGTCTGCGGATCACACAAAGGCAACCAACGCCACGAATACAGCGCCCATAACGTTTTTGCTTCTTGTTTATTGACGCCTCCACCTCGTTGTCCTGAATCCTGATGAATATTTATTGTTATTTTCTAGGATTATTTTGCAATTTCCATTTCCTAAAATATCGATTAATATCGATAATATTTAGCTAAAAATTTTAGAAAGACTGATGAGAATTATTTTTTTTGGGATGGGGTATCAAGCCCAAGCCAGAACCCGGGTACAAAAAAATAATTGATAAGTCAGTTGCCCTCCACAGTTGATTTGTAGGCTGTATCACAACCAAGCTGTTTCTGTAAGATTTTGAAAGACACAGTGTTTAATCTAGATTGTTAAATAATAGCTATTTATCTAAATAGCATTAAATAACAAGTACAATAAAGAAAGGCTTTATTGTACGAATAATTTCATGACGGAGCGAGCTTGCGAGCGAGGCTATTAAATAATAAGTCAATATTCAATAAAGCCTGTTTATGTAAGCGTAATACCTACATAATGTAAATTTAATGCGTTTATGTAAATTTCCATCTTGGTGATAAATAAAATAAATAATTATTGTACCATATTTTTTCTTTCAAAGGTTTAAACAGTTCCATATTTTATCTAATTTTCTTTTCCACTCAAAAAAGTCTTCCTTATTATTAAATGTTAAATTCTTGGGGTCTAAGTTGTTGTAATATGTAAAACAATAATGTATTTGCTGTCGGTAATAAAATCACAGTTTAATGGGCATCTTATGGACTTCATTATTTTTGTAGATGTATTTTTGTTGTGAATTGTGCTCTCCATGTGTGGCGTTGCCTCCGTGTGATCCGCAGACGCTTGTCGTCAAGTGCGGTCGTACACCAAGGAAACATCAAACATATATGCAACATGCAACTTACAACATGAAGTAAATAGCAGATATATTTGTGCTGCATATATCCATTGTAAAAACGTACAATGTCTCGGGTCGGGATCATCGCACATCGGTGCAGCCCACGCATTAGCTACACGTAGCATGATATTTCATTGGTGTACGACCGCACTTAAAGAGGTCTTGAATGTCGCTTGTGGACATCTATGCACACGTGCAACATACAACGTACGAAATGAAGTAAATACCGCGGGTAGACTTGTGACGCATACCTATATAAAATACACAGAATGTGAAAACGTACATGTTCTCGGGATCATCACACATCGACGCACCGCACGTACGGCCGTACACCAAAGAAACATCAAACATGCGACGTGCGATATGAAGTAAATAGGTACCTCAGTGCGATGTGCTATGATCCCGAGAACATGTACCTACGTTTTTCCTTTGGATATGTGCGGTATTTACTTCATGTCGCACGTTGCATGTTGCACGTTTGATGTTTCCTTGGTGTACGACCGCACGTCGTCTATTAAGATGCCGCCTGAGCGAAAGTTTTCGAAATTTTCCAAGATTTAATGTTTTGAAGCGATTCTGATCAGTTTGTCATTGACAAGATACCTTATTTTTTAAACACGACCCTGGATATTGTATTCACTTTTTGAGCTCTTTAATGCGTTAGTATATATATCTCGTCCCATTCCCAACAGTGAAAAAAGTATGTTATGAAGAAACTCATCTTTAAATCTTTGACATGGATCCATTAGAAACAGTTTCGGATGTGCACCTAGCAAAGGCACTCTAGTTCCTATTATTTGCGACGAGGTTGATGAAAATCATGAATTTTATTAACTAAGTAGGTATAAGAAAAAAAACAAAAAATCAATTAAAGCGAATAATATCCATTAACAAGATTACCTATAGAATGAGAAATAACCAGAAACAACAGTTACTGAAAAATGGTATGAAGTACCTACACCAAAACTTTTCATCTTCTTAAGTCGAGCGCTTTCGACCCCACTAGGTTCATCATCATCACGACCAGCATAGATAAATATAAGTAGGTACAAACATAGAAAAATACTTTCAGGAGGATAATACCAATGTATCATTAAGGTAGCTACATACGTATTAATTTTTAATAATTTGTTTCAATCAATTCTATTTGTTTAAATGCAAAGCAGCACTTAACAATAATGGCCTGTTCCTTGTTCCCATAGATACTCAGGTGAAGCTCTCTATTTCTTTAAATTTTCATTATAAATTTGTACATTCAAAATTTCAAAATCAGCAAATTTCAGTCTCATTTAAAATAAGCAAGTTGACGTATACTTCCGGTATAACCGGAAGAGCCACCATCTTGCAAGTATTTTAGCCGGGTTGCCCTCATTGACATTAGTATACTGTCAAATTTTTAAAAAAATTCTGCATAGAGTTTTTCATATACCTATAGATCGATTTGGTTCCCGGTGGGACACCCTGTATAAAATCAGTATTGCCATCTATCTATAATAAAATGAACGTAAAAATGCAAACTAATATCTGTTGCTGATAATAAAAGTACTGAGGTACTGCCATCTAGTACCTAACTTATAAATTTATTTTAAAATTGTGGCGTAGGTACCTACTTCTTCAAGTATTTTTCATATTTTTATCTGAGGAAATTTATACCTATTTGTCTTGCTTATGGAATTAAGTATAAGGTTTGTTTGTTTGTGTCGCACTAACTTGCCCTGAACTGTAATATTTCAGATTATGGCAGAGACACCCATATAAAACGCTCACAAACGAACGCCCGAAACCAGGAAGTAATGCCCTGAACAACACAAATAATCAAAACTATATAGTTCTATCTTTCTCTCACATTATCCAGTGTCCAGAGTCCAGGTTCTAGTGTCCTATTCGCTCTCTGGCATAACTTCAACTCGATTTTGCTGTGAAGTGCGAGGTAAAGCTCAGTGACTAATTTCTTTTTGCTCCCAAGATTTATTGAATTCAGCTTCTTTGAATTCTTCATCATTGTCATTCGTATCAAACCAGTCAGCTGCAACTCTCTAAGAAGTTGAAGAACTGTGTTTTAATTTTTGTTATGAGCAAATAAATAAAATGTACCTAATTAACTTACTAAGTGGGAATGTCACAACCTGCTTTTAAGCTGTGCTGCTTTGTTGTAACTGGGAACTCGATATTACTTCTAGAGGCTAGTGGGAGGGGAGGTCTTTATTATAGAGGATCTCTAGACTGTAATTCAAAGTATTATTTTCTTTGAATATGAGGCTAGGTCGGAATTACTTGTACTATATCGTCGAATTTGTTTTCAGTTCTTTTGCATCGAATTTTTGTTTGTTTCAGGTTTCAAAGCGATCAGTCCGTGATCAGTCACACAACAGCCTCATGATGTTAGTCTTGTAGAAACATAGCTGCCAATTTCTACACTGTTAAACTCGACCACTATTAGTACGTACACCACCTACAAGAGGATAATAATGAAATGGAGTTGCAAAAACGATAAGGATTCTGTGTCCTGAAAATGTCGCCAGGTATATTATTACCTACCAATGATGCTGAGTTGGTGCCTGTTGCAGCAGGAGCTAGTATCGTACCATACCAAACCAAGAAAGAAGGTGAAAAAGTACAGATTTTCTAACAAATATGAAGGACCTACAAGAAGATGTTGTGGTCACAGAAGTTGATAAGTCTCGTGATGTAGATCTTATAGCAGCCAACTTCTACGGTTTTAAACACTATCAAGATTCCACTTACTACCAATAATAACCGAAGGGCATTGGTAACAACACCAGTGGCAGAGGTAAGCAACATCTACACTGACTGAGCCTAACTGAAGCCCTCAACTCCATGCTAAATGTCCTCCAAACGGAAATTACTGCCATAACTATCGCTGCAGAACAGATAGTCAGCAACAATATCACTGACAAGATCGTGCACATCCACAACGACTCCAGACAAGCAGTACTAGCTCTATCTTGACCACGACTCACATCAAAACTAGTACATTGCCACTGTACCCGCACAGAGGCGTCAATAAAAAACACGGTGGTAGTCACGCATCTTGACTAACCACTGCCAGTTAAACAAATATTTATTCAGGTTGGATCTTAGCACCACACTTTTGTGCTTGTTATCAAGAAGAAGAAACCATGAAACACATTCTTTGTGACTGCACTGCTCTTTCGTCAATACGCAAAGCCAGATTAGGCCAATCGTACTCATCCCTAAAAGAGATCAGAGGCAGCGCCCTTGGTGACGTCATCGCGTACGTTAGGCTGGATGACGAGCTCAGGCTGACCTCACCTCTTGTGGAGACGCAGAGTGGGCCTACTGTGGCCTAAGTGCAGATACACGTACAGACAGCAGATACGTCTGCGGAGTTATTTCCAGGTCCGTTTTGAATTCACGACAAGAAAATTATCCTCCAAACGGAAATTAAAAATAGTCAGCAGCAACATCACTTACAAGATTGTGCACATCTACAAGGACTGCAGACAAGCATTACTAGCTCTATCTAGACCACGACTCACATTAGAACTAGTACAACATTGCTACCGTACCCTCACAGATGCGTCAATGAAAAACACAGTGGTAAAGTCAGCTGGATCAAAGGACATGATCACAGCAAAGGCAAAGGAGGGCCGCCAGGCTACAGCCTTTGGACCAGACTCCTTTGTGGGGCTGATGATGTCGGCAGCCAAAGATATGATCAAACAACCCTCCCACACCATTTTCGCTACAATACGATTAGCTGCAACTTATCCAAGGAACTGCTAAGCTACCCAGATAAAGCTGCAGCGAGCCAGAAACTGTTGTTGACCAGGAAAAAATAACAGGGGTATCTTGACTGACCACAGCAACCAAAACAAACATTTATTAGGGTTGCATCTTAGCATCACACCCTTGTGGAGGGCTTGTAACAGAGCCGTAGCTAGAATCAAATTTAAGGTAGGGCATGACAAATTTGATATAGGGCATACACTACTTGCCCCCCCCCTAATTTTTTTATAGGTAAACAAAATGGGGCTAATGGCGCCGAAGGCAAATTTTTCAATAAATCAAGGTTCAGGTTGTATGGTAAGGGGTAACTTGATGACACATCTGATCTAGAATACCTTATAGAGATTTGCATTATGTTGAGGCACCCCAGATGACGTCATAAAGTTACCAGGCATCCTACCTCTCTTGCCTCTATCAAACAACCTTGCAATAAATAACATCTGGCAAGTAAACAAAATGGCGCGGATTCTCGCGCCGGCCGCCTTGGGCCATTCGCACTCTTTGAAAACAAAAAAATTCCTCTGTGCAAACGTCAAACATTGTTCATTAGATTTAGGCATTTACGGAAACATTCATCCTCGCTTACTTGATTTCAGGCCTATCTACTTCAGGCATTATCTACTCTTAAATTTTCTGAAGAAACCTAAATGTTGATTTTTAAAGGTAGGGCATCATCATTTAAAAGATAGAGCATAGCCCCCCAATGCCCCCCCCCCTGGCTACGGCCCTGGATTGTAATTAAGAAGTTTGTGACTGCACTGCTCTTCCGCCAATACGCAGAGCTAGATTAGGCCAATCGTGCCCATCCCTAGAAGAGATCAGAGGCCCTTGGCGTCATCATGGTCTACGTTAAACTGATAGGCTGGATGACCTCTCCTCTTGTGGAGGCGCACAATGGGCCTACTGTGGCCTAAGTGCTGTGACATACCATCCTCCCAAGCTTACAAATACAGGATACTAATAATGGTGAGTTGGGGCCTAATGGCATCCTATATAGTGCTGGAAATAAATAAAAAGACAAACGGTATCTTTTAAATATATATTTGACTATAAGAAGCAACAAATAAAAAGAAGTTTTCTCTGTAGCTATTTCAGAAGACTTTGTTCAAAAAGAAAAATATTTTGTAAATAATAAAGTTTTTTTAGCTAATGGCAATTGTTTCCACAGCAAAACTTTAAGGTAACCTCAATTTCAATATTTCTTGTAGTAAATAAGATAAGGTTGTTTTACAGCAAAATTGCTTCACTTGCATTAAAACTGAAAACTCAAGTGAAGGCAACAGAAATATAAATTCATTTTGTACAAATTAAAGTTTTGGTGTGGAACTGAAAGTAATGGAAAAATTTCAATTGTGCCATTAGTTAAATATTTAATTTGTCTGATAAACCTAAAAAATATAATATTGTGCATTAATTTCGTAAACGCTGTTATTTCTTTTTGTTAAAAGTTTTAACCATGAGTTTTTACTAGTCTTCAACCATCGGAACTTTCTGCAGTAAGTACCAAAAAAAACATTTAGAAGATTATTTGATAAGCCATTATAAAAGACAGAAACATTTATACAAACTCGTAACTAATAATAATATAAAATTCCAATATTTGTTATAAATACATAAAATAAACACATTTTTATGTTCAGTTACATATATTATTATCTATTATAAGTGTGTTGTGAATTTAAAATCTATGTGAATTCAAAGATAATCCTAGACAAAAATACAGAACAATTATTTATATACATAGGCACCTACTATGTACAGGGTGATGTGATCAAATTAATTAACAATTTTATCATTTATTAGAAATAAATACAGGAAATTGCAATATGTAGCAGGCAGTGATACATTTATTGTATCATTAATTTTAAAATAAGGTCACTTTTTTATATAACATTTATTGAAAGTAGGTTCAAATCGGTCACCCTGTACAAATAATACATAGCCACTCTCTTTTATTAATTGAAAAATATAATGAAAAAGTTTATTACATAGCCGTCATGCTGTTATATGCCTTTTTTTACTAACCACCAATCGCCTACACCCTGTTCATTAATCCGCTTTCAGAATATTATGGAGTAAAAATAGCGATTTTAAACCTTAGGTGAACACAACCATTTTATTTTATTTGACAAATTTGAATTTTTGCTTTGTGGAATGTGAGTAATCCAAGAATATCTTGTTGCCTCCAACAAAACATTCTTGGATTCTATCAAAACGAAAGCTCTTATTGAGTCAGTTTTTGCATATTTTTGGAAATTAGAAAATATATACATATAATTTCAACCAGACACAACATTGGGTAGTGTTAAGTCTAGAAAGTCTAAGGCAAATCTTTTAAAACTGAGTGTGGGTTTTTATTTATATATCTTATTGTTAATTAAGGATAATAAAATGAATGTAATACTAGCAGGTTAAGAAACAAAAATTAAAAATTCTTAGTGCAACGAGATGTATTCAAGTTTTTAAAGGAGAAACTAGAAATTGCTATATTTGCACTACGAATTTGTATTGGATTATCAAATTTTACTGTATGAAACTTCGATATAGGAAAAAATATACGCAACTATCATATAAGGTCGCTATCAGTTATGTACCACGTATTATTTATTCTATCCGATATAAATTCTAGAAATAGCAATCTGAAGTCAATTAAACCTTTGTATGTATGGTTAATTTTTAAAATAATTAATTTGACATTTACAAAGCATGGCAAATTGATTTTTTTTTTTTTTTTAAAAAGTGCAATCAAATTACTATTGAATAGCTAAAAAAGAAGAGGACTTGACACTTATATTTTAATAGGAAATAAGTGAGAAAGTGTGAAAATAATTAAGTTGGAACCAACCATTGAGTTAAATCGTTTGTATCTTAATTTCAATTAGCAATTATGAATTCTAGAAATAAACAATGTAATTTTGAGAATAAATTCATAGGTATGTTTTTTAGATAATTATGAGAACTTCCATAAAAAAATTGAAAATTGCACAAAAATACTCCATGCAGCTTATTCTCACATTTCCTTACTCTGTCTGCCTAACCAAAAAAATTTAAAAATCGCTAATTTTAAATCTACCAACGACAAAAACAAAAGTATATAACAAAATCAAAAACGTAAGAGCGAACAAATATTATATGTATTGTCAAAAAAACCTATGTTAACACCACTGCTTAAAAATTTTGATAAATCCATCTAAACATTTTAATGGAAGACTCAACACATTGAATTACATACATCTAAAATAATATTTGATTATCATTCGAAAATATTTTATAATTGGGAAATTAAGATACTAAATTAAACAGGTGATGAAAAACATCAGCTAGTTAAAGCACCAAGGGGATTACTATCACATTGACACAAAGGTCACAAACTACATTCAGAAATAACTTCATCATATCCCACATTTCTACTTACACAAATTTATTAATTTAAGCTTTATTTTTTAATAAGCAGTGGTGAAACTTATAGAAGTAAAGCCTGAGCAAAAGTTTTACTCCAAAGTCATAGTTGTTGCAACTGCGATTTTGTAGGCTAGGCACTCCTCACAAGTCCAGTACCCTGGATTTCTTTATTGTTCTTGATATTAAAAATCCCAAGTACTGTTGACGAGTTCCCAAAAGATCTATTTCTATTTGACACCACAAATTGGCAGTATTTTAAATACCCTATCACTAAATTGCCGCTAATTAACAATTTCACCTCAACTTTGGAAAAAATGACAGACAAAATAGCTCAATCGACAAATTTTAAAAGAACATTTATATAGGGCTATGTCTAAATTTGAAATCTTAAACTTTATTTTGTTGCACCCCAAGTCCGCACTTGCCTCACACTTTTTGCACCTTTTAAAGTCTTGAATATTTTTTATAATGTACTTTTTGGTTCCAAGTGAAGCTAATTTACAGGAGCGCGCACAGCGATTTCTTTTTCTGTTTTTGTTTCTTCTCCGGAGATTTTTTATTAATTTGTCGAACTAGATCATAAAATATCTGAAAATAAAAAATAAATAAAACATCTTCATTGCACCTTACAATTGGGTTTTTTGATAGTCCAGTAAAATTTGACTTATCAATTATTACAATAATGGGCAATTTCTTCAAAATGTTGGAGTCAAACAGCATGAAGTACTTTTCAGAACTTTATCAAAACATTGCACTAGGTGTCTCCAAAAAAATTTAGCTAGTGTTATATTTTTAGACTTTTCAAGTCACGTTTTACTGGGCTATAATTAAATGAGAGAGAATGTTTTCAATAAAGAGTAAAACTTACATCATTAACATTTATTTTTGCTTTGGCAGAGGTTTCCATAAAGGCACAGTTGAACTGGCGCGATAAGCCACTTCCTTGCTCCTTGCCTACCACTCGCTCATCCTCCAAATCACATTTGTTACCAACTAACACCATGGGAACATCGTCAGTGTCCTATGAGGAAAAAAAAATAATAATAATTTTTTTGTCTATTGTTTCCTAATTTGTTGAGCCTCAAAATAAAAGTATGGCAATATGTTTGATTGTATATGAACTTAATCCATGTTAATAGACCTATCATCCAATTTGTTTGAAAAACAAAATGATAGAATATAAACAACTTATATCGACAAATACGAAAGCAATAACAGCGTGGGCGAATACTCGGAAAGATGGGTAACTATACAAAATTGAATCGACTCATTCACCGTTTAATATCACAAATAACGAATATTTGTTCCAGGAATTGTACGAATCGTTGATTTGATTCAATAAATTTTGTTGTGAAATACTATCCACATTTTCTTTTACGAAAAGATATCATTAATTATATTCTGAATAATTCGTTCAGACGCTTCTGCCATTCGAAAAATCAAATTTATTTCTGCGTGCCAAAACCCACATTGGAAAAGATTATACATATTGATTTTGTAACAAAGGAAAAAAAGAAATTGGTGTATTTTCATTTAGTAACATGACATTTTGTTTCTTGAAATATTTCAACCCATTTATGAAAAATTGCTGATAACAGCTGGTACCGGTTCTGGAGCACAAACCTTGCATTTTCAAATAAAATTAAGATGTGAATATTTCAATAATTTAATTTATGAAGGTATGGTCTATGATGTAAACTTGCTTGTTTATATTATAAACCTAAATTTAGGACACACGTTTTTCCATTAGAAATGTGAACTATTCATGTGCAATTTAAAAAAAAAAAGTATTATTCTCGATTCTAGTCTTAGAAAACATTCAGGCAGTCTGAGAGAAAAAATATTATATTCGAAATTTTAGCACTACTTTTGTTTTGTTGAGATTATGTTGAAAAACTTACTAGATAAAGGCTATTTCAGATCTTGCAATATTATCTTTCTTCTGCAGAAAATTTCCACATGATAGCATTTTCCATATTTTATTTTCTTTAGTTTAGCTGAAACTCAATACCTATGTGAACGATAGAAGATTATTCGACAGATATTTGCAACTTTGCAAGTACTATTCTTTTTCGATAAAAATGTTCCAATATGGTTTTCTATTGTCATTATACTTGATAAACTGACACATTTTGCAGGTAAATATCTAGAGAACCAGAAAAGATGATGCGGTTTGTTCTGGGAGAATAAGAATTTTTCAAAGTATTGCCAAATACTAAAATTTGGTTTTATAGACATGCGATTTTTTGAAATAAAAACCTTGTACCTACTGCCTTAGTTTTGATAAAATACCACATCGTCAGAAAGCCTGATTTTGATTTAATCATCTTGAAATTGCATCGTATAAATTGCACTTTGTTGACAAGGTTTTAATTAATTAATAAAAGTATTTTAAACGCAAGTTAATTATCGATTTTTTTACATCTAAATGAGTAAAAATTCATAATTCCACCTCTGAGCCTAAGATCCATTCGCAGTTTGTTTTCTTTGATAAAAATACCCTACTCAATAAATCCTGAAAGTTTGAAGTTCCTCTGTTTGCTTGAAATATTTTTCAGAAGCTCCCAAAAGTGATTTATGGCCATTTCCACCAACTATTTTAGGGGAGCCTTAAGGATAAGTATTCCCTAAAATGACACTTTTACATGGAGATATGTCAGTTTAAAGAATACTTAGTTGGTGGAAACGGCCATTAATAGAAATTTTACATGACTTTTTTGCATCTAAGTGAGAAGAAAAATCATAATTCCATTTCTGAGCCTGAGATCCATTCGCGGTTTGTTTCGTTCGGTAAAAACACCCTACTCTATAAATCCTGAGAGTTTGAAATCCCTCTGATTGCTTGAAGCATTTTCCAGATGCTTCCAAAAATAATTTAATAGAAATTTTGTATGATTTTATTGCTTCTTAGTGAGAAAAAATGTATAATTCCATCTCTGAGCCTGAGATCAATTCGCAGTTTGTTTTGTTTGATAAAAATACCCTAGTCAATAAATCCTGAAAGTTTGAAGTCCCTCTGATTGCTTGAAGTATTTTCCAGAAGCTTCCAAAAACGATTTAATAGAAATTTTATATGATTTTATCACATCTATGTGAAAAAAATTTCATAATTCCATTTATGAGCCTCAGATCCATTCGCGGTTCGTTTTGTTTGATAAAAAGACCCTACTCAATAAGTCCTGAAAGTTTGAAGTCCATCGGATTGCTTTAAGTATTTTTCAGAAGCTTCCAATGATGATTTAATAGAAATTTTACATGATTTTTTTGCATCTAAGTGCAAATTATCTGTTATGACTTTAAGACACTCGATATCGAATACGACAGCTCCAGACGTACTGTATAATACCTACGTTCCAAAAAATCGAAAAATAAAATCGCTATTTTGACACGAATTTAGACTCGACTCGTAAAATGGAATCAGGTTACCCAAGAGTTTATTACCTTCACGTATTAACGTGAGGTGAATAGTACCAAACCTTTAAAACAGGGTAGATAAGCATGATTTTATTATTCTCATTTCCTTATTTCTTTCTCGAGTTGCCATGCAGTAATTTATCTTTACTGATAGCATTTTCCTCATTTTATTTTCTTTAGTTTATCTGAAACTCAATACCTATGTGAACGATAAAGAATTATTCCATAGATATTTCCAACTTTGCAAGAATTGCAGGTACTATTTGGCACTACATATACTTTTTCTACAAAAAAAGATAACGAGATGCGGTTTGTTCTGGGAAATTTTCAAAAGTTTTTTTTTCACAGTATCCTAAAATTTGCTGAAACTTGGTTTTACAGACATGGGATATTTTTTAAATAAAATTATTTTGTCATTGTCAGAGAGCCAGATTTTTCTACTTTACAAAAATTATGTAATATATTTTTTTAATATCTTGAAATCATATCGTAAAAAATGCACTAGCGGGTACCATCAACTGCCAAAAACAAAGAAAAATACTTCAAACAGTTTGAGGGACTTTGAACTTTTATGATTGATTGAGTAGGGTCTCTTCATCAAACAGAACATACCGCGAATATATCTCAGGCTCAGAAATGGAATTATGATTTTTTTTCTCACTTAGATGTAAAAAAATCATATAAAATTTCTATTGAATCACCTTTGAAAGCTTCTGAAAAATCCTTCAAGCAATCAGAGGGACTTCAAACTTTCAGGATTTATCGAGTAGGTTCTTTTCATCAAACAGAACAGACCGCGAATAGATCTTAGGCCCAGAAATGGAATTATGAATTTTGTTTTCACTTGGATGCAAAAGAACCATGTAAAATTTTTATTAAATCACCTTTGGAAGCTTTTGAAAAATACTTTAAGCAATCAAAATTGAATCTTTTAGGGTATCTAGAAAATGGTTAGTGCCTAAAATAGATTTATTTTTTTAAAAACAAGTTGCTTCCTATGAATGAGATAATATATTTTGAAAAATGTTTCAAATTTAATCAAAATTACTTTGCAAATCTAAAACTGACTTTCTTGCCAAACGAACAATCTAGAAAACCTCAAAATCTAGAGACCATAAAAACATTCTCAGTTATCATTTTTCTATTCAACTAAAACATGAGTGGGTTCAAAAAATATTTTTGTTGTTGTTAATCTACCTGGTTTCAGGTTGAAATTTATTACCTATATTATTTACCAATGATTTATGCGAATGCGAAACATAAAACTCGGTAGATTAGCATGATTTTATTGTTCTCATTTCCTTATTTCTTTCTCGAGAGGCCGTGCAGTAATTTATCTTAACTGCTAACAGATTACCGCAAACTCCGATAGTCAAAATATAGGCCGCACACGTCGTTCAGACTTTTTCAACCTGAACTTTCATGGATATTTTCTATGTAAACAACGAAATCATAGCATAAAAAAGGGAAAATGTTAAATTTAAGTTGTATCTAAATTAAATAACCAATAATTCAAATATTGAGGTGATTATAGAATACAATGATGAATATAGAGGTTATTTTATTGTCTATTATAAACATAATTGAATCGAATTCAGATTAGATTATAGAGGCATTTCATTATCGATTAATTCAATTTCTATTTTATAGTACATGCATTTAAGTTTGATCAATCTAGCATAGTTAATTTGATGGCCTTTTTTTTAGCATTTTTTTATTGGCAGTAATCATAGTTTTAAAACAGTGCGTGGCGTTGTAAAAATGCAAAAGTAATTCCCAAGTAATCGATAAGTACTCAGTTAATGAAAACACAGACTACAACATGTATTATAATACAGACACTAATCCAAAATAATAAAACGCCACTGATAACATCTCCATTAAATTAAAACAGCACGTACCTACATCCTAAAATAATTATTTTCCATTAGGGTGTTTCTGGGGAGAATTTATCATGATTTTGTTATATACCCGATTTCAAGTATCAGACGACACTCTTCAAAATAATTGGGCGCGTTTATATCCTAGCAGAATACCAGGATTAAGATTAACAAAAAAAAAAATTAGAGATAAGAAATTTCAGGAGTTTAATCACTGTACTTGAATAGGATCATACATATTTTTGACACTCTAATGCAATCTAGTGTATATACTAAGAACTTTTAAATTATTAGATTAAGGCCCGGTTTATTCATCTTCAGGTAAATTTGGTGATCACTATCTGCAAGATAAATTTACCGTTCTATAATTCTATTATAGAACCAATGGGATTATATATTGCATTTTTATCCGTCAGATTTCATACCTGACAGTTTATCAGAAAGTGAATAAACCGGCACAGGGCCGGTTTATTCACCTTCTGGCCAGTTATCCGCCGAACGAATATAGAACGGTAAATTTATCTTGCAGATAGTTACCAGCAAGTTTATCTGAAAATTAATAATCTGGGTTCAAATGTATTATTCTTTAAAATTATTTTGATTTTTCCAATTTTGCATCGGCGTATAACACTACTAATAATCATCACGATCAGGTGAATCAGGCCAGTGTATAACTAGAAATGGTGGTCATATCACGGATATTCTGATTTATCACAATAATTCTGGT